GGGGGCGTGCTCAGTCCTCTTTTTTTTCCTGTTGTCCACAATCATCTCCTTTGTCTTGATCACGTTGAGGGAGAGGTTGTTATCCTGGCACCACACGGCCAGGTCTCTGACCTCCTCCCTATAGGCTGTCTCATCGTTGTCAGTGATCAGGCCTATCACTGTTGTGTTGTCGGCAAACTTAATGAAGGTGTTGGAGTTGTGCCTGGCCATGCAGTCATGGGTGAGCAGGGAGTACAGGAGGGGACTGAGCATGCATCCCTGAGGGGCCCCCATGTTGAGGATCAGCGTAGCAGATGTGTTGTTACCTACCCTTACCACCTGGGGGCGGCCCGTCAGGAAGTCCAGTATCCAGTTGCAGAGGGATGTGTTTAGTCCCAGGATCCTTAGCTTAGTGATGAGCTTTGAGGGCACTATGGTGTTGAACGCTGAGCTGTAGTCAATGAATAGCATTCTCACGTAGGTGTTCCTCTTGTCCAGGTGGGACAAGTTCCTCTCCTCTCCTCTGCTTTCCTCTCTTCTGCTTTCCTCTCCTCTCCTCTGCTCTCCTCTTCCTTTCTCTCCTCTACTCTCCTCTCCTCTGCTGTCCTCTCCGTCCCATTTTCACTCCTCTCTACCCCCCTCCTGTTTATCATCTTCACTCTCTCTTCCAAGTAGGGGATGACATTATTGTCGTTTTCTCCTCTCCTCCTTTCCCCTCTCTCCTCCATTTCCACAATCTTGCAAATTACCTCTCTGTGGTCAGATTTCATCACTTTCATTTGCAAATAAAAGAGAGGGAGGTGGTGAAGGTGTAATGCAGACGAGAGAGAGCTGGGAGAGTGAAAGAGCGAGAGAGCTGAGAGATAGAGACATGGAAGGTGGAGAGAGAGAGAGAGGGAGAAGACTGGCCTGGAGCTATATGGGAAGTTGTAATAGACGCTCTCTGAGCTAGAGAAGGATGAAAAGAATGTGATCTGTTTTACAGAATCAAGACTGTGTAGTCATTACCATTCTCCCTGCTAGGGGCTTTTTATACTATTCATCACAGGGTTTACTTACATCTCCTCAAAATAGAACCGTAGATATTCAGATAGGCCTTATTTGCACAGGCTGAACTACAGAATGTACTGTTGAATATATACCATCCAAAATAGAACTATGAGATATTCAGATATGCTTTATTGTCACAAGGGGACACAATGTACAGTCCTCTGTTTGTGATCTGGACACACATTGGTTGCTTCCCAAATGGATCCTTATTCCATATACATGATATACATACATATATGCCTATAGAATGTCTACACCCCTTTGAACTTTTGTCACATTTTGCTGCCTTAAAATTACATCTAAATAGGGATTACATTTGATTTTTGACCTACAGATCTGCACAACCTCCACATTTTCAAAGTGAAAGAAAGTTATAGAAAATGTTTCAAATTAAGCCGGGAGGGTCGTCAGAGAAATGGGACACACCTGGGCTTGGGTGTGTCCCAGTGATAAATACACCTTTCCCCCATTCATTGTGGAGACTCTCCATGCAGACGCACTGTTGGATTTTGGGTGTGGTATTTTTGTGGCTGTATTGTTTGTTTGCTTTGGCACCTTTCAACACTCCTCATTATCACATCTATGCATCCACTCACTCACACTACTGATTACTGACTACACACACCATTGTTAATTGTATATAGTTAGCTTTAGTTAATAAATATATTTAGTTATTCCTTATCTCCACGTTGTCTCCCTATTTGTTATGGGTTATGAGCTGGTTCGTGACATCATGTATTGTATTCTTCCAACAACATCATGTGTGTCTTCACTATACCATGTGTTGTTATATTGTGCCTATCATGTGTTTGCCCTTGTCCAGTCCAGTGTGTTCTCCCTCCTTACCATATGAACAGTATTTACCTAAAAATACACTATACAGTCTGTGACGCGTCCCTCTCAGTGTGTGTGTGCACGCATTCTGTGTCCTCTCTCTGTGTGTAGGTCCTTACATGAAGATAAATGCCACCACTTCTATGGCCATGGCAGCGGGGAAATGTAATCCCACATTTTGTAGATCAATAAAGCCCATTGTATTCTAATGTATTCCAGACACTCTATTCTAATCTGTTCTCTCACATTAACAAACATATGGCGGCCCTCTCTGCTATGGTTGTTGTGTAATTAATAGGCATGGTGGGGCAATTAAAACAGGGAGGCTTTATGAGCCTGCTGATTAAGATATTTAAAGCATGAATTTCAATGAATGCCTGCCTATACCCTGGGCTCTCTTGCTTTTTCTCTGTCTGGGAGTTGTTTATTGGTGTAAAAGAGCCAGAGAGAGAGATTTGGGTATGTGTGTCAGGGGTGGAGGGGTGGGTTTCCCCTTTTCTTCTTGCTTGCCTGTGTGTGTGTGTGTGTGTGTGTGTGTGTGTGTGTTTATGTAGAGTGTTATCCATGAGTGTTATCCTTGAGTTTTCTGTTATCCGTAAGCAATTAAATCCAGCATTACCAGAATAGCTTCGCTGGAATCAGTTGCTGAGGATTTCACAGCATAAAACAGGTCGGCATTAATGCCTCACTAACTGACTGCAGGACAGTAACTGTACAGAGAGAGACGGTCCTCAACCGCTTTCAATAGAAACGATTAACGTGTAGAGCCAGCGGTCTTTAAGTCTATTCCACAGGGGATGGATGTATGCAGATTCCCATTGCAAGCCATATTCAGCCCCTTAATTGGTACAATCAGTTATCAGGGATACTGTATGAATGTAAAAGTCTGCCTGTCCCCAGATAAAGTCCACTCCAGTTACTCCTGGGCAGAGGTTACAAATTGTGTTCCCCACAGTGGAGTTTAATTCACAGTGGATTTAGAGCTATTTATATGATTGAGAGGCCTAATGACATTAATGCTGACACCGGAATGAATAACATACTTAGGGTGCAGGCTGGCCATTTACTCATAGCTGAGACAGAAACCAGGAAGAATGGGCGCGCGCACACACACACGTACCTACACACATACGCGCACACACACACACGCACGCACAGGCCTTTATGAATCAGTGTTGTGACCCTGGTGTGTAGACATGAATGGGACATTTGCATTACAGAGCTGCAGAGTGTAGAGTGTGTATGGATGTATTCAGTAAAGCTGGTACATCAGTCGGGTTAGGCTAAAGGGGTAGAGATGGAGGGGAGGATGTCGAAACAAATACCACCAGTCCTTTTCTCTTCCGTTTTTAATCCCTCTCCAATGTTTCCTTCTCCCTTTTGGTTCCTTTTTACATTCTTTCTCGCTCTCTTCTCTTCTCTTCTTTCTTTCTTTCTTTCTTTCTCTCTTTCTCTCTTTCTTCTCTCTCTCTCTCTCTCTTTCTCTTAGAGCAGCACAGCAGTAGAACAGAACAGCAGCAGTATGATTCAGCATTACATGGTCAGGATCTATAAGCATCTGCCAGGGGAACATTTCTATATAATGAACACATTACATCTTCTGTGGAGAGGCCCTCCTGAGGAAAGGAGTGCAGGAACAGAGAGAGGCAGAGAAAGGGGTAGTAAAGCAAGAGGGGGAGAGAGAGGAAGAGAGAGAGGAAGAGAGAGAATGTTCTTATAGTATAGCCTACAGTCTTCAGGTCCCACTGCAGCACGTGTCAACACTTCTGACTGTGTCTCTGCTTCTTTCTTTCTCTCTACACAGTCTATTGAGTAAGTCTTACACAGTCTATTGAGTAAGATCTAAACAGTCTATTGAGTAAGCCCTACAAAGTCTATTGAGTAAGCCCTACACAGTGTATTGAGTAAGCTCTACACAGTGTATTGAGTAAGCTCTACACAGTCTATTGAGTAAGCCCTACACAGTCTATTGAGTAAGCTCTACACAGTGTATTGAGTAAGCTCTACACAGTCTATTGAGTAAGCCCTACAAAGTCTATTGAGTAAGCTCTACACAGTCTATTGAGTAAGCTCTACACTGTCTATTGAGTAAGCCCTACACAGTCTATTGAGTAAGCTCTACACAGTCTATTGAGTAAGCTCTACACAGTCTATTGAGTAAGCTCTACACAGTCTATTGAGTAAGCTCTACACAGTCTATTGAGAAAGCTCTACACAGTCTATTGAGTAAGCCCTACACAGTCTATTGAGTAAGCCCTACACAGTCTATTGAGTAAGCTCTATACAGTATATTGAGTAAGCTCTACACAGTCTATTGAGTAAGCTCTACACAGTCTATTGAGTAAGCCCTACACAGTCTATTGAGTAAGCTCTATACAGTATATTGAGTAAGCGCTACTCAGTATATTGAGTAAGCCCTACACAGTATATTGAGTAAGCTCTACATCACATTCCCTGTCAACTAGTTGTCAACTATTACTCTCTCACCAGTAGGGTAACACAAGGTAAACATGCTCTTGAATAATAAGATATGTTCCTCTATTATTTCACTTATCTCCTGGAGTTCATGAAACCAACTGTCACTTAATCATGACTAATGATCTTAACAAGACATACACGAGAAAAGGGTTTTTATTCATTCATACAAGTGGTAGATACCTGAGAATGGACTTCCATTACAATAGACTAAACAGGTGAATATACAGTATATTTATAATATGTATCAATATAAACCTAGTTATAAATGATATTCATCCACTATGTTAGATTATTCCACAGCCTGTACAGAGGTCATGTTGCATCCATTACCATAGATCAGAAGTTAATCATGTTTAAAACAGACATCCTATTGACTCATCAGTGAAGGTTAGCCCTGCTTGAGCCATTTGCTGCATTGAGTAATGGATTGCTGGAGAAAGGGGTAGGAACGGGGGTTGGGTGTATGGGTTACATAGTTACAGCTGGATAAAGGGGTAGGACCAGGGGTTGGGTGTATGGGTTATATAGTTACAGCTGGAGAAAGGGGTAGGACCGGGGGTTGGGTGTATGGGTTATATAGTTACAGCTGGAGAAAGGGGTAGGACCAGGGGTTGGGTGTATGGGTTATATAGTTACAGCTGGAGAAAGGGGTAGGACCGGGGGTTGGGTGTATGGGTTATATAGTTACAGCTGGAGAAAGGGGTAGGACCGGGGGTTGGGTGTATGGGTTATATAGTTACAGCTGGAGAAAGGGGTAGGCATGTGAGTGCTCTAAGTGCTGCTTCTGTGGACGGTGTAGCTTTATTGGTTAAGTGTGTTTGTGGTGGATGGTGTAAAAAAAAGGAACTGTCGCAGTGTAGTTACTGTCACTGAGGGGTTTAAGGCAGGCAGGAATTGGTGCATCTGTATGAACATGAACGTGTGTGTGTTACTCTGGGGTGGAGTTAAGGCGGACAGTGGTATGAGGCAGTGTGGAGGTGGAGGGGTCTGACATGGCTATAGTCTTCACTCCCATCTTCTTCAGAGAGCGCTCGTCTGTGACAGACATAGAGCGGTAGAACGCCGGACGAGGGGCTGCTGCCGATGAGAAAGAGAGAAAGAGGCGGGGGGAGGAAGAGGGGAACGAAGGGGGGGGGGGGGGGGGGAGTTGAGGGGTTAAATTATTCAAATACACATCCCTTCACAGTTCACACACCCCTAATAAAAATACACATTTTTTCCCCCAAATGAGATGAATGGCATGAAATGTTTTTGTGTAAAATCTGATATGTGCCTGCAGTAGCATGTTCTGGCATGTAGGTGGTCAGGACAGCGCAGCGAGCTGCAGCAGAGAGACTGAGCAATGACTGCAAATCCATTTCAGCCTCATGTCTCCCGTAACACACACACATGCTACGGGCCATTCCTTGGCTGCTGCCCTCGATATCATTCAGCAGCAACAGCCGGCCGAGCTTCTCATGACTCACCAGCAGGGGGCAGAGTGACCCCACACACACGCAGACCCCCACTAGGGCATACATTTGCAGTAAGTGCTGCAATAGCTACCCAAACTCCTTGTTCCAGCCAAACGCTAGGCCACGCCCACAGACAGTTTCTTCTCTGCAATGAGTCTGGATCTGAGTACCTACACAACGATTTCTAGAACGCAAACATATTCTAACAGTTCTGATTGGTCCCAGAAACCGATGGGTCGGGCCAAGCAGCGTTTAGAAAATTCGTCATTGGCTTTGATACTCTGATTGGATAGAGACGATCCAATCACTGATTACTTTGTTTTGTACAACAGCCCTCATTTGGACGTCACCACAAACGAATTTCAATGATTGCAGTCTCAGACTGAAGTATGTAGCAAACATAGAGCAGCGGAAGAATTCAGTTTGAGTCGTCAGACTGTTGGGCTCACTCTCCTCTGCTCTCATTGCTCTTCCTTTCTGTGAAATACATATTTTGCTACTTCGCTCTCTCTTACCTCTTCTTCTTCTCAATGATCTTTGTCTTCCTCTCCACCTCTCCGCCTCGGCATGCTCTTCCCTTCTTCCCCCTCCCCTTCTCTCCCATCCCTGCTCTTTCTCCCTCCCCCGCTCCCCTACTTTCCCTCATTTCCCCCTATGCTCTCTCCTCTTCCCTTACTCTTCCTTCTATCTCTCTCTCCTTTCTCTCCACTACCTATCCTCTCGATCCTCCCCCACACTCCCCCTCTTTTTCTCCTCTCTCTCCTCCTCATTGCCCACTCTCTCGTTCTCTATTAAAGGGATGATATAGAATAGTACAGTAGTAGACTATAGTAGTTACTACAGCTGAGTGATATGGACAAAAATCCATATAGCGATAAATTGCCTGAATAGATACGATAGCGATAAATAGAACGATACGTTTCTAACGTTAATGTGCACCGCAGTTTTTTATTATTATCCTTTAAACTACTAGTTTTGTGGTTGAAGCTATCAATTATCCAATTAACAATCATCCATATTTGCAAACTTATTTAATTTCAAACTTCACATTTCTCTAGAGTACTTATCGTAATGAATGATATCAGCAAAATGCCTTTGATAAGTGATCGGTATGGTCGGTGTCGATAATTTTTGGTTTATCGTCCCAGCTCTAATAGTTACCTGTGTTGTTGTTCTGGGTTGATTTGAGTTTGCTGTTGGTCTGTTCCTGTATCTGTTGCTCAAACTCCCTCACATCCTCCAAACTCATCCCTGTAAGGAAAAGCACAGACTGATGAGCTTATAATGCATTATCATAACCATGTAACATGTGTATCATAATGCATTCTAACCATGTAACATGTGTATCATAATGCATTCTAACCATGTAACATGTGTATCATAATGCATTCTAACCATGTAACATGTGTATCATAATGCATTCTAACCATGTAACGTGTATCATAATGCATTCTAACCATGTAACATGTGTATCATAATGCATTATAACCATGTAACATGTGTATCATAATGCATTAAACTATGTAACATGTGTATCATAATGCATTATAACCATGTATATCATAATGCATTATAAGCATGTCCGAACAAAAACATACAGCAACAGTCAACAACAGCACATTGAAAGGCATAAATTACGATGTAGTATAATGCATTATAACCATGTTCTATAATATAATGCATTATAACCATGTCCTATTATAATCATGTTCTATATGTTAAAGAATTATAACCATGTCCTATTATAATCATGTTCTATATGTTATAAAGCATTATAACCATGTCCTATTATAATCATGTCCTATATGTTATATAGCATTAAAACCATGTTCTATTATAATCATGTCCTATATGTTATGATGCATTATAAACATGTTTTATAATGTAATGCATTACAACCATGTCCTATTATAATCATGTTCTGTATGTTATATAGCATTATAACATGTCATATTATAATCATGTCCTGTGTGTTATAAGACATTATAACCATGTTCTATAATATAATGCATTATAACCACGTTCTATTATAAATCATGTCCTATATGTTATAAGGCATTATAACCATGTCCTCTACTGACCGTGCCATTCATCTATCCAGGCTACTGCCTGTCTGTGTCCTACCAGTAGGATGTCCTGGATGTTCTGTCAGATCATACACAACAGAGAAAATACATGTATTACATCAAAGAAACACATCCAAAGGCTTTGAGCAGGTGCTGCTGGAGATCAAAGTGTATATATTGAGCAAAAAGAAAAGAAGATTCCCCAAACACAATCTATGCTCTCAAATGTGTTTCTTGAAACAACATTTTGACCCTTAGGTCAGGTTCTCACCTGATGCATGATGGTAAATGTAGTTTCCTCTCACCCTGTGTATGAAGTCCTCAGTCTTGCCCTGGAGGCCGTAGACTTCGAAACTGCACTTCACCCTCTTATAGGAGCACATAATGGGGGTGCTGTCCTTCCACCACCCTTCCACCAGGGGGCCTCTGCCCGTCTTCTCAGACACCCAGCGACTCAGGTCCTACAGAGACACAAAGTACACATTACCTGATGACGGAGCTAAATCACTGGCTGTTGTGTAGGGGGAGGGGGAGTGTGTGTGTGTGTGTGTGCGTAGGCCTGTGTAAGCAGGTTGTTGCTCAATACCTCACATATAATAAATGAGTGATTCAACATGATAGGCATCTGTGGCCCAAGATGCATAGATTGCACAAGTGTCTGTGTATATTTCCTTCTGAAGTTACTGGAACTTCAGAAGGAGGAAATGTGTGTGTGCACGCTTGTACCTCTGTCTCCTTGTAGTGTTTGTCAGGGATGGGGTCAACGAGGATATCCAGGTGGCTCACGCTCTCTGCAGGGGTGGGCCTATCCCCGAATACCTGCAACCGAGCAGAGGGGGAGGTCACTCAGAAATAGACAGACTCACACACACTGGAGCCAGGGACTAGTAGATGAGGAAAGAGGGGGAATAGTGAGGTCACACACCATATCACCCATCATAATACCCCACCCTCAGGCCTTGAGCAAATCACCACACACACACAGACACAGAGAGAGAGAGAGAGAGAGAGAGAGAGAATGAAAGAGAGAGAGAGAATGAAAGAGAGAGGGGGGGTGAGGTCGAGGGAGATTAGGGGAGAGAGAAAGAGGTGGAGAGCGGGGGGAAGGGAGATAGAGGGAGCACACTAAATCACAAAAAAAGAGAGAGACAAGGAGAGAGGGAGCAGGCGAAGAAGGACGAGCGGGGGTGAAAGAAGAGAGAAAGAGAACGAGACAAAGAAAGAGAGAGAAAAGTCACTGTTCTTTCTGTTCTGTTCTGTCCCCTTGTCTTGACAGAAAGTGAAAGAGAGAGTAATGTCTCTTTTGAAGATGTTCATTCCTCTGCTGGTATTTAACAAAGAGAAGAGCAGGGAGACAAACCCACAGCCAGATAATCAGCTGGGTTTCAGATCCTATTATGTCCTGTGTCTCTGTGTGTTTAAGAATCTATTCTCTTATATAACGTATGTATTGTCCTCCTGTCTGTCTGTTAGTCTGTTGACACTTGTCATAGTTCCTATTTTTCCATGTCAAAAGCATTGTTTTACCTCATCCTTTAAACCTGCTGGTGTTCCTCTGTTCTGGTTGTGCTTTTGTGCCCTTTAGATGTCTTCTATGTTGCTGTGTGTTGTAATAGAGGTGTATTTATGGGTGTGGGTGTGTGTGGGAGTCTGTGTTTCTGCTAAAATGAACACATGTAACCTGTAGCTGGGAGAAGGTTGAAACAAGCTTCGTCAAATTTCTGGACACACACACACACACACACACACACACACACACACACACACACACACACACACACACACACAGACTAACAGCCAGATGAGTTCAGTGGTGTGTTCAGTCTTGTTCCCAGGTTTCCATCCAGAGATTACAGGGGCATGCTGTAGGGACAAACCAGCTCAGAATTGTGTTTGTGTGTCGGAATTCCGTGAGGCCATAGAAAAGGTGGTGAAACAAGCCTGTAATACAAGCATGTACCCTTCTCGCTCTCTTACACTCACACACACACACACACACACACACACACACACACACACACACACACACACACACACACACACACACACACACACACACACACACAGTGGATGGCTAATAGATCTGCCGATATTGCATTCTGTGCTTTGCTTGTTTTCCTTGTAATGGCCACATCAATTTGATGAGCATTCTCCTCACACTGTAGAGAATATTACAATTTCTCTCTCTCTCTCCCCCCCCACACCCCACTTCTCTCTCTCCTTCGGTCATACTCACATTATTGTTGTCGCCATTGTTGTTCTCGAACCTGGTCTCAATACGGATGCTGAACTTGGGAAGGAACGACACCTACAGTAGATGAAGGATGGATGTGGATGGAGGGAAGGAGGGAGGGAGAGAGAAGGATGGACGGAGAGAAAACGATGGAGGGAGAGAGAAGGAGGGAGGGAGGGAGAGAGATAAGAATTGAGGGAGAGAGAAGGAGGGAGGGAGAGAAGGTGGGAGGGAGAAGGATGGAAGGAGGGAGAAGGATGGAGAGAGAGAGAAGGATGGAGAGAGAGAGGAGGGAGGGAGAGAGGAGTAGACAGATGAGGATATGTACACAGACATTTGGAGACTGATGAGCTCTACTGCATGCTTCATGCAAATGATGTGTGAATACTTACTGAGTACTCTGAAGCACACACCGCGGAAGTTCCATACGGATAGAGAGGAACATCATTAGTGACACACCACACACAGGCACACACACACATATTTAAAAACATGTGGAACGACAGATGTTTAAAGTAAATAGGGTCTCGATAAGGCAGATTGTGTGCAGACAAGGAAACAAAGTAACTTTCTATGTTGTATGTTGACTTGACCCTATAGGAAGTACAAGTTGGTAGCAGGTGAAAAGGCTGTGTATGTGGTGGATAGAATAGTGTTGTCAGACCTGTGATGGTGTAAGGATAGAAGTTCCATGCTTTCTCGGTCACATAGAAGACCCTGGGGACAAACACACTCACCCAGGATGGCAGTTTACTGTCAGAGAGAGAGACAGACAGAGGGGAGGAATGTACTGTTACCTTCCGCTGAGGTAGACGTATGTGTGTGGTATGTTCTAGGGCTAGGCCATAGGGGTGAGTGTGGGATAGTAGGTGTGTGTTTGCGTGCGCATGCGTGCCTGTGTTACCTGCTGAGGTAGATGCGTTTCTCAGTAAACTGTCCCAGGCCGTGTTGGGGATGTGAGTCTGGTTGGTTCCTCACCACCTCCACCCCCTCCCCTCCTCCGCTCTGCTCACTACTGTGTTTGCTGATCATGTACAGCTGCCCAATCTTATACTGGGGGTGGGGGGGAGAGATGAGAAGAGAGATTAAAGGAGCAGGGGGAGAGTCAATTCACACAGTCCTGTCTTAATACAATGTAGATCGTACACAATAAATATTGACTTAAATAGCAGTGTGAATTGATATCTATGTCTCTGGGATGGCCACTATGTGAATGGATATCTATGTCTCTGGTCTGGCCATTCTCTAAATGAATGTGTCACCCATCCTTTGACTAACAACAAAAACCCACACAGCATTATGTTTCTCTTTGACTTCAGATTACTGTGACAGTTTTGTGGTTAATGTGTTTAACATGTACTGACGATTACAGAAACATACAGTGCAGTAAGACAGCAACTATATTATGTGAATATGTGCCCCACCTTTTGACTAAAAACGAAACACACACATACCTGTCTTAATTTGTCCCCCACCTTTTGACTAAAAATGAAACACACACATACCTGTCTTAATTTGTCACCCACCCTTTGACTAAAAACGAAACACACACATACCTGTGTCTTAACCCATCAACCTACTAGGACAACCAGCTACACTCCCCTCAGAATTAGAAGTGTGTGTGTGTATGTGTGCGTGAGTGCAGACATTGCATAAACAGTGCTATGGTTTGAATGTGGAACTATAAGCTGATCCCACTAAAGCTGCACAGGAATCTTAATGCGCTTCCCCATCAGACCATGAGAGTCTGAGTTCCACACGTGGAATGGATCTCACCTTAGGATTTGGTTCTATGTGATTTTACAGAGACTACTTTCAGATAGATCATACACGACACTGATCCAGGGTTTTGTCTGCATAGAAAAGTATTGGGCGGGCTGCCTACGTGTTTTTTTCGGGCGCCTATGTCCAAACAGTAAAGAAATATATTATATTATAATAATAATAATAATAATAATAATAATAATAATGATGGGAAAAACGTTTTCAGTGTAAACTTAAATGAATAAAACCAGATATAAAGTATGTAGAAAAGATAAAGGACCTATATATTTTTAAATACAATCATCTTTGAGGACCAACAGTCACCGAAATAAAAGTTAGCCAGTCCGGGATAATCTAACATTCAAAGAAATTATACATTCAGGAGTGTTTTTGTCATGACATGGGGCCCCCATTGATTTTGTTATAATTTTTGAGTCACTCACATAGCATAAGCCATGGCAACATGCATGGAATTGCAGGAAATTAGCTTTAAAACTGCGGCCGACTGGAAGGCCTCAAACATTTTTGGTCGGCCACAGCAGCATTGGCCAGGCCCATGGCCATGCCCACCAGCTAAGCCCCATTTTGATCCATAAAAACCCTGTGATCACACTAGCTAAAGCTTACACAAACACTCAAACATTAGTGATCTTAAAGTTATAGTTCACTCTAAAGTTTGTCACACGTTTCCAGACCACAGAAGTGGCCTAACATCCGACCAAAGTTGGTTTCATAGTGAAGTATCAATTGAAGTTTCCGGCACAGCATGTTCTAATAATAAACATCTACATAACACTGTTCCAGACAGATAGCTCAGACTTAAACACTATGACAGGTATAACTGCTTTGTTGTGGTGGTTGGAGGGAGCGAGGGAACAAGGAACTTCCCTTTGAGGGCACTCTAGAGCACCTTCCCCCTAAACCCTCGTCCACCCACCACTTCTTACACCCTGGTGGAATCTGTCTGTTTTTAACCTCCAGGCCAAATGCCTTTGTTGACGTTTGGGGTTGTAAGCCTCAACCAGTCCAACTTGTTTGTGTGGAAAAAAGGGAGAGGAGGAGAGAGAGTGAGATGGAGGTAGAGGTAGAGAGAGAGGAACAGATGGAGCGATAATTTAGACACAATAACATTGTGATGCTCATTGCCAGGTGTAGTCTGTTCACCCCATGCTGACAGACAGCAACACAGAGCTGAGATTAGGTACATGCAGGACCATACAGAGTGCCAGCCACATGAACAACACTACTCAACTACAGGATGCCTGTGTGTAGTGCTCTTACAGATGTACGATTTTAATTTGATCCAGTTTGCTACAGCAGGAAAATAATCCTGCAACAACAGCAAATCTGAATTATGATATGGATTATAATGAATATACATTTTTTGTAGAGGGTGATACATTTATCGTAAATTAAACCCTTAAATCCACTCCAAGATGTCCTGCAACAGGGTGATCAAATTAAGATCCTACATCTGTATTCTAGCAACTTTAACACTTTCAAGATCACATGAAAAGCTGTCACCTTATATTTACAGCAGCGGTCTACAGTACACACACATTCAAACACACAAGCATGCACACACACTGACAACCCCCCCCACACACGCTCACAGACAAACACACACTTATCCAGTGTACACACACTTACCTCTTCCACAGTTAGTGGCATGCATATTCTGTACTCCTTCATCAACATGGTTCAATCGTGCAGTGAACGTCTGTCTGTCTGTGTTTGTCCTAACTCTCCTGCATAAGCGAACTATAGTGCACAGCACCTACTTTGGACTGCAGTGACCTCCTTTCTCACGCTCTCTCTTCTCTCCCTTTATTTAGCTGATGTCAGAGCTTCATTGAAGTCCAGTCCAGTCCACTCTGTCAATGTGTATCTATTCGTTTTCTACACTTTCTCTCTTTTTTCCCTCTCTCTCCTCCTTTTTGTTTCTCTCCCGATTAATCTCCTCACTCCCTCTGTCAACATTCAACTGTTGTCCTTCCCTCTCTCTCTCTCTCTACCCCTGGTTTCTCCCCCTCTCTCTCTCTCTCTCTCTCTCTCTCTCTCTCTCTCTCTCTCTACCCCTGGTCCTCTCTCTCTCTCTACCCCTGGTCCCCCCCCCCCCCCCCTCTCTCTCTCTCTCTCTCTCTCTCTCTCTCGATCTTATTGTTTACCCTTTCTTTGTTCTCCTCCAGTGAGCAACAGGTAATTAAATGTAATTAACTTGAGGTAAGACTGAAACCTTCTCAACTCCCTAATCCACGCTACCGTGTCTGTCCTGCTATTCTCTCTCTATCTCTCTCTCCTCTGTCTGTCTTTCTTACTTTCGTTCCCTAGACTGCTCTCATGTGTAACCTTGCTCTCTGCTCGGCACTCCTCCCTCCCCCCTTCACCGCCCTCCCCTGCTTTCAGTTCCTCACAAATTCCTTCTCTCCCTCCTTATCTTTCTTCTCTCTCTCCCTCCCCCTCCACCTCTTCTCACGCCCACCTTACTTTACCTACTCACCTGTTTCTGCTCTCTCTCACACACACACAAACACAGCCAAGGTTTTGACAGCTCTCAGCTGATATGAATGGCTAGCACGGAGCGGTAGTCAGGTGGTGGGTTGGATTAAATATTACCAGAGTGAGCCATGATGAGTGCTATCTATTAAGCACAGCGCCAGCATTTACATTGTATTACCATGACCTTGAACTGAGTTTAATTGAATCCATGTTTAGTCAATGAGTACAGAGACGTGAGCAGTCATTTTATCTATTGCCCCTGTGTGTCCTTGAGTACTGGGCTTGTTTCCCTGGAAAGAGAAGTGAACAACAATGGTGGTGGTCATGATGAGTGCCAAGCTTGAGTTGTGTTGTTGCCCCACTATCAAATGTGACAAAGGGGGAACAGATGCTTGGGTTTATATGGGTCATAACACAGGGGCGAAGCTATACTGCACATGTGTCAAACTCATTCTACGGTGGGCCGAGTGTCTGCGGGTTTTCGCTCCTCCCTTGTTCTTCATTGATGAATTAAGGCACTAATTAGTAAGGAACTCCCCACACCTGGTTGTCTAAGTCTTAATTTAAAGGAAAAACCAAAAACCTGCAGACACTAGGCCCTCCATGGAATGAGTTTGACACCCCTGTTATACTGGGTCTGAGCTATAGAATCCGTATGCCCCTCAAACTCACTTCTGGACCTTGAAGCCAGTTCCATTTCTTTTTTTCATCGTTCCCCTCTAATCAGGGACTGATTTAGACCTGGGACACCAGGTGTGTCTAATTAATTATCAGGTAGAAACCAGCAGCCTTCGGACTTTGTAGGGTAAGAGTTGAATATCCCTTCCCTAACCCTGTTCCTGGAGAGCTACCGTCCTGTAGGTTTTCACTCCAACCCTAATATAGCGCACCTGATACTAATCATTAGCTGGTTGATAAGCTGAATCAAATGAGTTACAAATGGGGTTGAATCAAAAACCTACAAGAGGGTAGCTCTCCAGGAACAGGATTGGAGAGCCCTGATATAGAAGGTTTTTGATCCTGTTTTAATAGTTTTATCCAAGTCCCACATTGACACCTAACTGTTGGTACTCTATAGATCTGAAATGATTGGCTAAGCAGTATGGTAATAGCTTCCCCATGTCCTCACACTGGATTGGGTTTTCTTTGCATTCCAAAGATTGGAGACTGTCGGATGACTCATGAGTTAATTCAATTATTGATCGATGATTGATTGATTCAACCAACATCACAATTACTGTATCCCAGTTGTCTCCAAACCTTCCTCCCCTCATCTAATCTCTCACTGATAGCTGAAAAGACAGAGGGATTCACCAGATGGCTGACACCTATCAAACCCTCTCAGATCAGTGAAGTTAAATGAAAAAAATGCTCTTTATGACTGTTGGGGCATAGCATTTTACCATCATTATTCCTGTCCTGTGTGTGTGTGTTTGATCATATGTATCTTATTGTGTGTGTGGTTGTTTTGCAAAGTTTTTATAGTAAACTAAAACTGAAACTACAATGAAAACGAATCATGGAAAAACTATTTTGTAAACTGAAATAAAATAGTTAACAAACCTGTTTAAAAAACTAAAACTATAATGAAACCATTCTCCAAAACTAAATTAAAATAAAAACCCATCATTAATTATGCTCAGTTTTAGTTTCTTTCTCTAAAATTGTTTTTTTTCTAATGGGGTTTTCAAGTTTCTGAATCTGGCAGGTCACATTGAGATTGGGTGCACTTGAGTGGTAAGGCTTAAGCAACCGAATGTAGACGAAAGTCAAGGATTGAAGTTGGGCAAGGTGCAACTGCGATAGCCGAAAGTCGAACACTAATGTGGTTTTTCAACAGCAAGGCTCAGATCAACATGGCAGTGTTGCCATTTTTTACAAAAGTTTTCCATTCTCTCTGTCTCCAACCCCCATACACACACTCAACAAAAAATTTTATAATGTGTGCACATTGTACAATCAATTAGTGCGAGAGACTCAAATATCACATTTATTTGTATATACAGTATCCAGGCCCAATCCCAAATGGACCCCTAAACCTTACTCTTTATGCAAGTTGACATGGGATTGAAAATTATTCCTGTCCCATCTTGTCCTGTCAAATTTTTAGATGCTCGTCTGTCTGTCCCTTGCTCTGCGTGTGGGTAGCCATAGCAACTGCTCCGTTTGGCTGCTGCTCAGAGCTCACGAGACAGTTGCCTGTACACAGCTGATAACAACCACATTACGAGATTTGGAAATGAAGGCAGCCCTTGCACTTACTTACCCAGAATTGGATGAACTCATGGATATGGACATGTGTAATTGTGTACGTCTCCGAGTGCATCTGAGGTAAAGTACGGGCTGGCTACAACTGGAGCGAGGCGCGAGAGTGAGCCGACATAAGGGGAAGGGGGGAAATGACCATTTAAAAAATATATATATATATATATATATATATTAAGTAAACTATAATATAGTTTACTTAATATACACTGCTCAAAAAAATAAAGGGAACACTAAAATAACACATCCTAGATCTGAATGAATGAAATAATCTTATTAAATACTTTTTTCTTTACATAGTTGAATGTGCTGACAACAAAATCACACAAAAATTATCAATGGAAATCAAATGTATCAACCCATGGAGGTCTGGATTTGGAGTCACCCTCAAAATTAAAGTGGAAAACCACACTACAGGCTGATCCAACTTTGATGTAATGTCCTTAAAACAAGTCAAAATGAGGCTCAGTAGTGTGTGTGGCCTCCACGTGCCTGTATGACCTCCCTACAACGCCTGGGCATGCTCCTGATGAGGTGGCGGATGGTCTCCTGAGGGATCTCCTCCCAGACCTGGACTAAAGCATCCGCCAACTCCTGGACAGTCTGTGGTGCAACGTGGCGTTGGTGGATGGAGCGAGACATGATGTCCCAGATGTGCTCAATTGGATTCAGGTCTGGGGAGCGGGCGGGCCAGTCCATAGCATCAATGCCTTCCTCTTGCAGGAACTGCTGACACACTCCAGCCACATGAGGTCTAGCATTGTCTTGCATTAGGAGGAACCCAGGGCCAACCGCACCAGCATATGGTCTCACAAGGGGTCTGAGGATCTCATCTCAGTACCTAATGGCAGTCAGGATACCTCTGGCGAGCACATGGAGGGCTGTGCGGCCCCCCAAATAAATGCCACCCCACACCATGACTGACCCACCGCCAAACCGGTCATGCTGGAGGATGTTGCAGGCAGCAGAACGTTCTCCATGGCGTCTCCAGACTCTGTCACGTCTGTCACGTGCTCAGTGTGAACCTGCTTTCATCTGTGAAGAGCACAGGGCGCCAGTGGCGAATTTGCCAATCTTGGTGTTCTCTGGCAAATGCCAAACGTCCTGCACGGTGTTGGGCTGTAAGCACAACCCCCACCTGTGGACGTTGGGCCCTCATACCACCCTCATGGAGTCTGTTTCTGACCGTTTGAGCAGACACATGCACATTTGTGGCCTGCTGGAGGTCATTTTGCAGGGCTCTGGCAGTGCTCCTCGTGCTCCTCCTTGCACAAAGGCGGAGGTAGCGGTCCTGCTGCTGGGTTGTTGCCCTCCTACGGCCTCCTCCACGTCTCCTGATGTACTGGCCTGTCTCCTGGTAGTGCCTCCATGCTCTGGACACTACGCTGACAGACACAGCAAACCTTCTTGCCACAGCTCGCATTGATGTGCCATCCTGGCCACTTGTGTGGGTTGTAGACTCCATCTCATGCTACCACTAGAGTGAAAGCACCGCCAGCATTCAAAAGTGACCAAAACATCAGCCAGGAAGCATAGGAACTGAGAAGTGGTCTGTGGTCACCACCTGCAAAACCAGTCCTTTATTGGGGGTGTCTTGCTAATTGCCTATAATTTCCACCTGTTGTCTATTCAATTTGCACAACAGCATGTGAAATTTAATGTCAATCAGTGTTGCTTCCTAAGTGGACAGTTTGATTTCACAGAAGTGTGATTGACTTGGAGTTACATTGTGTTGTTTAAGTGTTCCCTTTCTTTTTTTGAGCAGTGTATATACAGTATATATATATATATATTTAATAGTCAACACAGTTGACTCCCATTCCTGATAGAATCCCGCAAGACCCTCGGGAGTCCTGTTCCCATGTCAACCTCTAGTGGAGATCTGAGAGGATTTGAATGGTATAAGCAACATAGTAAAACTTCCACATAGCCTATCAGAGGGCAAGGTGAATGTATTACAATTTTGCTTACACCTGTCAAATCCTCTACGATCCCTACAAGTGCATAGGGTGTTGGGCGAATCGCAGCAAAGTTAGTTCCTGTTTCAGTTATGTCTAAAATAGTTATTGGTTGACAATAGAACCTCCCACAACACAGGCCATGGTTGCTGGATGAAGTTGCTGAAGAGAAACTGCAGAAACTTGCAGTTAACTGTGGTAAAAACGTCACAACCTTTGATCACATTATTTTTTTAATGCAGTCAACATGTAGGCGCAAGTAGGAAAATGTTTATCCCCATAATGCAACACACTTTGAAAGGCGAACAACAAGACAAGCAAGATGACATTGCCTACAGCAGCACAGCAAATATTGGGCGCGTTCGAGCGGATACATTTTGTCTAGTCAAGATCAACGATGGTCACCACCTTTCAAAGTGTGTTGCATTATTGTGCAAAGAAATGTCCAACTTGCGCCTACATTTCGACTGCATGAACTTTACAAAAACCATGTGATCAAATGTCATGCAGTTTTTTATTAATTCATCTTCAAGTCGCTGCAGTTGTTTCTCATCAACTGCACCATGCAACCAACTCCTGGC